CGCCATTTTCATAGCCGCCTCAGTTTCCCTCAAAGCACTGGAAGAGAGAATTCGCTACCTGGTAAAGAAAGATGGAAATGGCTGCGAAAAACTCGCAGTACCACGACCCTATCAGGTAAGACCAAGTTATTTTGTTGTCAAATAACGTTTAATGAATTATTATTTACTTTACAGAAATCCGGATTGGTAAACAAGCTAATCTGTCGAATTACAGCCACTGGCCATAGGTATTCGTCACTATGCATTATTCGACTTACATGTTAATTTGGTGCAGCTAGACATATGTCTTGAATTTATTTCATATCCGTTTGATATTGTTCATATATTTTGCACATGGGTCATGAATCATCTTAGCTACAAAGACATAATTTCCGTTTTATTTTCAATTCAGTGCGTGTCATGGTTATGGCAATTTTTAACATGGCGGTCTATGGGGAAAGAATACGCAATGTTATATATATGTTATAAAATTATGTATCTGTGACCAAGATGATTTCCTAACAACCTGCAAAATTTGACAACCAAATATGGAAAACTGAATTAATGAAAATTACACAGCTACACTAAAATAGCATGCAAGTCTATGAGAATTTTGCCGACTGACGTAAAGTCCCATGACTGTATAAGCAGTTTTGCTCGAACTATTTTCAAACGATGGTGAAGTAAAATAAGTCTATCTAAAACTATACTACAATTTTGAAAAATATAGCAAATAGATTATATATTAATGGATTTGTTTTATTCATTTAGGCTGTTGTGAGGAAACATGTGCCACGACTACTCCTGGAGGAAAAGATCACCTCTCTTACTGAAGGTATGTGTTTATGGTACTACGAAATATAGACATAATTTCACTTTGAATATTTTATTATTATGCTTCCCTAGATACATTTCACAAAATGAACCATACTAAAGTTACATTTGCAAATGGATTTGAATAACCGGTAACTTAATCATTGATTTCAAATTGGAACAAATAAATCTTAACTTCACACCTGTGTGAAATTGCAGTCAAACTGACCCCTTGGTTTTACAATACCGTAATTACTCCAAGGTTATGTCACATGAGATAACTCGACTCCATTTATCAGGATGTTTATGTCAGGCCGTTCACTTACTGATTGCATAATCTAAAGTGATAAATCTGTAGTTTGCTTGTTGGTATAAATGTCGCTGCAAATTTAAAACTCGAATGAATGAATGGGAAATGCAAAGAAAAAGTAACGTGTTATTGTTTAATTTTTTTTCAGCAAAGCTGATGATGAGTCTGGAGACTGTATAATGAATGACCAAGGATGGTCAGCAGGAACATGTGAAGGGTAATTTTGACCTATCTGTAGCGACTTTCATTATAAATAGTAAATAATTTCAAATTAATGGTGTAGAGACAAGGTTTATGGATGTCAACTCCTTGATTATGTGAAAACATATTTTCAGGGTGAATGCTTACCCCTTCGTCAGGTGTAAGCATTCACTCCGAAACATTGTAAGTTTTCACATAATAAAAGACGTTGACATCCGTAAACATGTCATGTCTTGAAAGACTAGATGGTGTAAACATACAGTCACTACTGGGTGAATATACTTGTGCCTTCAACAATACGACTGACTGACTGAGTTTGGTTTTACGCCGCTTTTAGCAATATTCCAGCAACATCACGGCGGGGGACACCAGAAATGGGCTCAATACGAACTGTAAGAGATTGAATATAGCAATTTGATGAAAATCTATTACTAGTACCATTATTACTATATAGAAAATGCAATAAATGTTCAGATATATATAACGTATTACTACCTCTGGTCTGGGAAGCATGTAACTCCAGAGCAAATTTTGTATAGATTGTGTGTCCTCTTTAGAAAATAAGATATTTCATTCAGTCAATGAAGTGTGATGAATTGCATAATTTGAGTTTTGAGAAAACTAGTGCAAAGTGTGATTGTTCAATTCTCTTTTATTCAAACTTCCTTTTGGATTACTCATTTTAAATCATCCTTGACATTTTCAGTTTCTTGTTGATTGATGTTTGTGTAATTTATCAAAATAACCTAGTAATTCGTTATTACCTGCCATTTTCAGAAACTTGCACAACGCCTAAACAGACTTGCATCTATCGATTGGCCAGATAGACGAAAGAAAAGGTAGCGACAACACTCACCATAGACATGACATCACCAGTCGTGAGTGACGAAGATGACGTCAATTAGTTGCATTCCGTCTCCTTTGTCTGGGAGTCCAGCAAGCTTAGGGCATACACGACGACACTGAACTTGGAAAGAATCTACACCTCCACTGCTCTCGTCATGGCCAACGTGAGGACGAGGATGAGGCATCCAACCCACCGGAGGGATCTCCGCCCAGGGATGCCTTATTGGGCTAACTGACCAACTCTTGCAATATAATTGAATTTATTTTCAATTTCATAATGTAATTTTTATTTTATTTTATTTTGTATTGTAAGCTGTATGTTGTGTTATTGTATGATGTATATCATAGTGGATGTTTGGCGATAGTTGTGACATAGAGTGTGTGGCTGAATGCCAAGGCGTGCAAATAAATGTCCGATGCAGCTATGTTTTATTACTGTGTTAAGTTGTATCTTAGTGTTATTTTTCACCATTAGCATGATTTTTGAAATAAATTTCATATCTAACATGCTATTTCAAGATAATAAGTGAATGAAAGTTTAACTGATGAAAAATTCCTACTTTGCTATAAATGATATATGATTTCTTAAACTGGATTGAGTTATGCCAAAATGTTTTGCTCTGTTTTTTAGTGCTATATTACTAGTTATATGTATGATCTTTATTTGCCTTAAATGCTAATTCATATTCATGTTGAGAAAATAAAACAATGAATCTTATTATATATTCTGTTTTTCTTTAAGTAAATATCATGACAATAACAAATTTCTTCTATTGTTTTTAACAAGAGTTTATGATATGAATAAAGAAGAATGGTTACATTTGGCTCTTTGAAGCGCATATGAAAACCTGTGAACCTGAAATTGAAACCAGTAACTGAAACTATGCTGAAACTATGTCGGATTGTTGGTAACTGAAACTATGCGGAAACTATGTCGGATTGTTGGTAACTGAAACTCTGCGGAAACCTGTTGGAGTCTTATTAATAACTGAAACCTTGCGGAAACCTGATGGATTCAAAGTTAACAACTGAAACTCAACGGAAACTTGTCGGAGTGTGGGTAACGGAAACCGTGCGGAAACCCTTAGAAAGTGGGTAATTGTAAGTTTCTGTTATTGCGGAAACTCAATGTAAAAGAACGGAAACTCACTGGATGCTAGGTGGAAACTTAAGTTTCAGTCCACTTTCCACCAAGTTATTTTTGCTTTGGATGTGTCTTTTAACAGTTTAATATACGAAAAAGTGATAAATCCTTTCAGGTATTGGTGTATAGTCTCATTGGTCACCCAAGATAGCACACCTGGCAACTAATTGCATAATGTCCGCCTTTCTTTAAAAACAGTAATTTAGTTAGCCAATAATGGGCAATCAATAAATGTATTGCCGGTTAATCCTTTGAAAGAAGGACGTTGTTTTTACGCAGACACCGACACGACAGAGTGTATTCAGTATAGATTAGTAAATCTACATACATAAACACTACCTTTTAACAATTCCGCTGTGTAAGATAAAAGTAATTAATCAATCAGCGTGTTATCGGTTAATCCTTTGATCGATGTTTATAATGTTGAATATTTACTCCAGACACAAGAAATGCCAAATGGGAACCTTTGTCGGGTAATCTAAGTGTGTTACCACTAATTATACCTGTTATAAATTCATTAACTGACCATCAAGTGAATGATGACAAATAACATGTGTAGGTTTATACCACCTAACACGGGTTACAACGAAGGAGTATTAATTGCTGTATTGCATGTGAAAACTTATGGGCCGACACTGTTTTGAGAATACAAACAGATGTTTACATGACATGATTAAATATCAAGGTAAAACAACACAGAAATGGGATCAGTTTGGATCAGTCATTATACAAATAGGGCCTAACGACACCAATCGATTTTGACAGAATCGTCTATGAAAACAAGTTGTAACTCGGAAACTAGGCAAAGCAGGAGACAAAATTAAATGACAGTAGATTGTGAGAACATATAGCTTTCATTTTCCACAACAATTGTCACGATTTCAGGTTTATACAAGCCTGTAAACACGATAATTTACCCCCTAAAATGTAGATGAATTCTGCATCGGCTCTCAAAGCTATTCCTCATATGACGTCACAGAGGCGCGCCGCTCTGATTGGTTAAAATTTCGTTCGCGGGTGAGAATTGTGCACTGTTGTCAAAAAGGTCGATTTAAGTCAATTAAAGGTCGAAATGAGTAGTTTTAATGACGGGGTTTCATTTATAACGATGCCAGTTAGTGATTTATGTATTTGTACCCCCTAGGGTTTATGTGACCTTTAAACACTAGGGTACCCACCGCCCCACTCCCATGGAAGATCGTAAAGATGAGTAAGAACATATAGATCGAAAAATGTCTTTTCAAAGATTTGTGCAGTGTCGGGGTTACAGCACTACAGCTTTGAGATTGGTTTGTACTAGACCTTATTGGGATGTTTCTAATGTTCACCCTTCAGTCATAATTTCCCAAATGTCTTTTCTTCTTTTGCGGGAACACTTGACTTGCCTCCGACTGCCACCCGTGAGCATCTGATATGATCCTTATGACACAGTGGAATCGGTGATTTGGTATTACGAAGATATGTTCCTGTCCCCAATCATATTGAGTACATTTCGTCACCCGAATTAGTTTATTTCTTATTTCAAGACCCAAAAAAACTGCAATTAAATTCCCATACATAATATCTCCCTGTTACTGGAATATTCTGGTCTGCCTGTGGTCATGCACGAGCATATTACTGTATCTGACACTCACGAAACACTGACTTTTCTTCAGATGGGATCCGTCCGCATCCATCCATGATGGTTTGGAAGGTTCCAGCCCTTTCTCAGTGTTTGACTCGAGTGGAAATGCTGTGGCATTTGGACAACTGAATAATGTCATGACGACACCAATGTGGCACGACAAAACCAACAACTTCCTGTACTATGGAATTATGGGAGGAATCGAACAGATCCCGACAAATTTCTCCTACCACATTTTGGCAGCATATTCCTCGGCGGGACCTGAAAGTGTAAGTAGATATTCTACTTAGTGAACATCTCGTCGGCTCGTTTGAGGAATAAATGCTGTTTAAGGGGTTATTCATTCAGCGACTATATTTTGTCCATTTCTGAATTTCAAGTAGGTTCTAAGAAAAGGGTGTTTGAATCAAGTCGATAAACAAAATGGCTGCCGTACCTCGTTTTCATCCAAATACTAAAGACACCAAGCGTAACCCTTGCCACATGCACGAGTAAAGCACACACAAGGCACAACCAGACATAAGAGTCCACACACGTCGGTAGTCCTTGTGTCTTCAACAGGAGGTGAGGTGAAATTGGGTTTAACGTCGTGCTTGAGAATATTTCGCTCATATGACGACGTGCATGCGTGTGTATGTGTATGTGCGGCTGCTTGTAGTAGCCCAGACTGAAGCTGGTTTCAAAGTGCTAGCCCACTGAGATACCATGCCACAGTGAAGCATGAATACCCCACTCAGACACATTATACTGACTCCGAGCCGACCAGTCCTTGTTGTACCCATTAATGCCGAGCGCCATGCAGGGACCAACAAGTACCATATTTTAACGTCTTTTGGTATAAGGGGATCGAACCCGCGACCTTCCGCTATCCGGGCGGACGCTCTAACCACTACACCACGGAGGCGGTCGTCTTCAACAGGAACGGAAGGTTGCAGAACATGTGTCCATCGCGGGTTGACGAAGACGAATTCCGCGTACAAAGCATCACACTACACCACAGACCTTGTTTTATGGAATGGATTCTTGACAGACACCAGGAACTGCTACTGTCCTAAAACGACATGTTTAAGCATATGATATTGTTGTTGATCAGCAGCAAGCCTGTTGCTCTCTGTTACCAGTAGTCACATTGTTAATGTTGTTTATGAGTAAACAGAGTTTCAGTGTTGTTGGTCGGTAGGCATGTCGTTATTGTTGGTTTCAGTGCACATCGTGTCTTCGTCCTTACCAATAGGCACCGTGTTATGGACGCAGTTCTGTCGAACATATTAAAGACAACCATCTGCTCTGAATATCATCCTCTATATACATGGGAATATGTGTTAGTTTGTTACGATTAAGATCTACATTTTTAACTTATCCCAATGTGTTGGGATTTGAATTTGAGATGAAATATTTCAATATATTTTTATTGAAAGCACAGAAAAGCATCCCTTCCATACCAAAAACAACCTCAACATATAAAACATCCATATGGTAGGGTAATCAGTTATGTGGTACATAGTTTCATCAGTAGACTACCATCGGGTTCTGCTTGGACAATATGCCTGTTTATAACTCTGGGGCTGTGATACCGACTAAATATACATGTATACCCAGCACACTTTGAAACTGTCGACAAACCAATATTCGTTAGCAGAAACTAAAACTCTCTCTCTCGTAATAGATTATTGTGTGTTCCTGACGTTAGATAATGTTTCCGTACAACTGTTTCAAACTGGTGATTTTATTTTCAACTTTTCAGAGTCTTTCTGTGTGGGGTTTCGTAATCAGGAGCTTTGTATACAAGGAAGATAAACCGGCGGATCCCTCTGGGGACACACTGGGGTACTGGACAGATGAAGGTGACCTTAAACACTTTAATTAATGACTACTTCAAGTCATTGCTGTTTGACAATGGTACAAGAATCCGTATAGACGCGTCTCACCCACGATATACAGCAGTTGTTATCCATAAAGTGTGTTAAATAGTGAGCTTTAATTAGGTCTTGGCTTTGAACGTTTTAGGACAGTTTCCGGGCAGATTTGTGTTTCTCCGCAAACGTGTCAGTTGTAATGTTTATTGTCTGAATAGAGTACGTGAGTATAGTTTTAGCAATATTTCGGCAATATAACGAGATATAGGCTTCACACATTGTACCCATGTGGGGAACCGCGGACGCTTTACCCTCCAGGCTACCTGTCTCAATAGGAGTCATCAAGCGATATCTAACGACTCAAAGGCAGAAGATAATAGTACTACCAACATATGTCACACTGAAATCCCCTTGTGTACAATGATAACTTCCAGTCACCTAAATCGAGGGTTCGAATCCCACTTTGCACTTGGTATTTGTCTAGGTTTGGTAGCACCATACAAATGTTCTTTTGTTTTCGAAGAGTGGTGATGCTTCAGACCTGCATCCCTTCGGTGGGACCTTTTGCCTTCATGTGCCTACTGTTTCCATGTCAAGGCGTCAACGTCCAACTGTTTCCATGTCAAGGCGTCAACGTCAACGTCCTACTGTTTCCATGTCAAGGCGTCAACGTCCTATTGTTTCCATGTCATGGCGTCAACGTCCTACTGTTTCCATGTTAATGTTACAGGGGCCTATTACTTCGTTGTCTGTTACAGGGTCCTACTATTTCGAGAAAACCGATGGAACATCAACGTTTGAAGATACATTGATCAAAGTGTTTGCTGATGCCCGCAATAGAAGTATACCATACAGGTACCTGTATAGTTTTGGTACAATAGGACAACAATTGATAAGATGGCGTATTGCGTCGTTGAGGCAATGTATTTATGTTTAGTTTACAGTATATACATCTTGATAACTGAAACATCTGGCCGACTGAGTCGCCTGAGGAGCAGATTTGTGTGACATTTATGTTCCTTCCGATGACTGAATATTTCAGACCAAAATCATGAATAATGGTTCCAGTGAATAATGGTTCCAGTGCCGCGATATGTGATTAACGTGAACATATCCTGCAACTTAGCATGTTACCCATACGCTGTGGTATATCTCTATTTGCACAACAGATAATCTTTATTCCTTGATCTTTTCGTTCGGAACATATATCCTCATTCCTGTTTCTCCTCTTTCGGTGCTTATCTTTCTTTCTTCCTAAATCTTCCGTATTCCTTGGTCTCGTTTTCTTCAAATGAGCTATTGTTATTCCTAATGCATGCACTCCTCGTATATACGTTTATTCCTGTTTCATATCTTCTGCAGGTATGTAGAACTGGACACCTGGTGGTTTACAAAAGGTCAAGGTGGAGGGGTCAAGGAGTGGACAGCACCAGCAGACATCTTCCCCAACGGCATCGAGTACGTCTACAATAATCTAACATTACTGGTGGTAAATCAGTTTCCATATGGCACATTGATATTAATGGTAACACTGTACTACCAAATATTTTTAGTGTTCATCAATACATAGGTAGCCCGACTGAACAAGATTCTATACGATTTACAACTTTGTACAGATTGTGTTCGGTTTTACACAAGTTCTGAAGGAGAAATTGAACGTAATGATAAATCCCAGCAACCCTCAACCCTTATGTAGCAAGTCATTCGCACACGCACGCACGCACGGGTGCGAAAAATAGAAAACAGAGTTTTTGGTGGAAGGGTAGTTGTCTTGACATATCCCGCTTTAAGACCTGACCTGCCCATTGAGAATAAGATGATGACATGGATTGTTTTGTTGTGGACTAGTCGGCCAACACCACCTTCAGAACGATCTGGGAAAACGGTAATACAGATATAATTTATGTTATGTTTGTTTTCAGGTATGTCCACAGGAGCTTGAACGTACCCATTGTGGCGAAAAATAATTTCTGGTGAGTTGTGAGAAGGGAGCTTCGCAGAATGAACTAAGTGAAAGCATTAACATACTTGAGTCTTTGACGGCTCAGTAGGGAAATGATCGGGTTGTCTGTGTCTTTGTTGGGTGAGAGGCCCCTCCAGTTGTCCTGAAGGCAGTGGCTTCGCTACACTTCCGAGGACATTGTTTCGTGGTCTGTTGCGAAAAGCACTACGATGTCCAGAAGGACATTAATTATGTTACGTTGATTCCGTGAAACTGTGGCACTTTCAAAAGAACTCATTTCAATATTTATTTATTGCAGGTCCAGTGATAACATATATGCAACACAAAATGGCGGAAAGTTCAATTTTGAATTTGAAGGAGACATGGCAATACCGACAGATGAGGCATTTACAAATATTATTGATTTATACATATAGTTTACATTGAGTGTGGAACGGTTATATTTCATCAAAGTAACTGGTCTTGTTTCATAATAATATGATATATTTATGTAATCATTTCTAATACTGAAATATGGAACCATGAAGATTTAGTATTTGAAATACGACAAGTGTATCACGATGTGTCTACAAACAATGTCAGTTAAAGGAAGTGATCTACTGATCCACTCAATTTTTAACCACTCTGACCCTGACTTTAAACCACTCACCAACGCCCTGTGGTGGTTGTAAGAGGCGACTAAAAAGATCCTTTGGTCAGACTAGGTTGTTTAGTAGATGGCCTGTCATCATACTGCGAAAGCGTGGATTGATTGAGAGAGCTTGATTTTTACGCCGCGTTTTAAAGCTTGTCTCATGCTGAGTCTGCCTCAACAAACAATGGAACAATCTACCAATGAAGGAGCTGTGAAAATACTTTTCGATTCGGAGCCATGTGACGTCAGAGAATGATTTGTTTACTTCCAGGCCTTCTGGGACAAAATCTTCAGTGATTCCAAGCAGTGGGGATTAGCCACATATATACAAGTAGGATTTGCCACCATACGCTCTCAGTTATATTCTGCAATGAATTATTCATCGATATTTCTGGGAGAAGGCTTTCTTAGGACGTTTAACGCTGATGACGTCACAAAACAATCAGACGTTTCAGACTAATAGCCATTGTAAAGAGGCGGTCGTGAAATGTTTTATGGTACATATTGAACAAAACAGGGTATTAGCAGAATGTTAGTAGTAAGTGTATGTCACGGTGCTTATTGTTATACACGTTAAGTGAAAGTTCTATACGGAACAAGATATGCCGCATGCTTTATATTCACGCAATTTCTAAACAATGATGATAAAAAATCCTTCCTGACTGATACATATTAGTGCCTGTTGGCTCCAGTGATGTTTACATATACTTTACAATACCGCTGATTACGAAGTTTAATCCATGTGTATCAGTCAACAGAATATTGTCTTCTGCAGGACAACATGACTGAAATATTCCGTACTTTCCCACGGATGCAGACGGACCTTAACTTTGCGCGAGATTGGTTGGTTAAAATGGCGGCGTCTGCTTTGAGACACAACATCACCATCCAGTACTGTGGCGCCACCCCAACGATGGCGCTCCTGGCACTCCAGTTACCGGCTGTCACCAAGGTCAGAAACAGTCGTGGATGTTGATGTCGGTACATTTTAGCATATTCACAGTGACATAATACGCTTACTGTGCATCCACTTTAGGACAAATTATGCATCCAGTCATAAGAAAGGTATGATCCAGTCTGATGTTTCCCCCGATACAATCCTCTGTCGCAACAGGACATATTTTGTCATATGCCATGACGTATGAAACGACAATGAAACATCGACAACACTATAATTGGGCTATAATAGTTACATTCGGAACGCGTCGTTTTACTTCGTTTCGAGTTACACAAATCAGATTTGCTGCTCCGAATGATTCTCACTCGTACCGAGAATATATGTCGGATATTAATACCTTTATCCAGGTGCGCGTCCTGGGAGGCTATGGCACAGAATTGGACCAGAGGAATATTCTTGCTTCGTCCGTATTCTCCGCACTTTTAGATGTGTTGGTCTTCAAAGGTGTGCTCCGTACACAAGACCAGAAGGGAGGTGGGAACATTTTTTATGGTTGCTATTGTGGTTATGTTAGTTTACGTTTTTGTTGTTGATGATATAACCATTCCCGTTGTTATCGGCAGCGGCCATTAAGCCTAGTGGTATGGACGTCACGTCTAAACCAGGTGAACCAGCATAAATGCATACAACTGTAAAATCTCTCTCCTTCAACTCCCTAATCAGCTTCGACAACGATGACATTGAGCTTTGATCGCTGCCTAACTAACCCGAGACATTTGATAGCAAATCCTTTTATTGAAACATTTAAATAGGATTTGATCCGCAATATACATTTTGATGTTCGAAATTCGTTAAAAAACGGCGACATGATAATTGACTCAGCTCAGGTACAGCGAAAATTATTTTGACATCTTAAAATTGTTCCAACCTGTGAATGTGTAAGGCATGCCTTACCTATATGTCTGAAATTATCCGATGTGGACTAGTACAGAGTTTAGCAATGCTTTCTTTCAAGGCACTGGAACAATCTCTGCAGCTCAGAGCAGCGTGATAGCTGTCTTGTCGCGGGGTCCAGTTGGGATTGGTGACCAGATCGGACATACCAATTCTTCCATCATCAATAGGTAGTTACTGTTTCATCTATCGCCTCCCATCAATGATAATAATTATGCACAAATGGCCTGAAAAGTGAAACAAGGGGTTTCTGTTTCCCATCAAGATGTAAATGTAGGTGTCTTCAACGAGACTGAATTTAATTCTTCTCCGTATATGTAAGTAAATTTTCTGTCCCTTTTGACAACCTGAACCAGGAAAAACACATATATAAAGCAATATCCGGAACATATGAATGTCCCCAGCACCAAGTTGTCCAACTGTTCTTGGTGCCTTAGGTTTAGTACCTCCCAGTCTCTTGGTGCCTTAGGTTTAGTACCTCCCAGTCTCTTGGTGCCTTGGGTTTAGTACCTCCCAGTCTCTTGGTGCCTTGGGTTTAGTACCTCCCAGGCCATGTTTATGACTGACTCTCTCACGTTGTCTAGTAGAATGCCTGTATTTCCATCTAGTGACTCTCATCTCACTCTCTCACCTCTAGTAGGCCATGTTTATGACACTCTCATGTCTGTAGAAGCCTATTTCCATCTAGTGACTCTCATCTCACTCTCACCTCTAGTAGGCCATGTTTATGACACTCTCATGTCTGTAGAAGCCTATTTCCATCTAGTGACTCTCATCTCACTCTCATCTCTAGTAGGCCATGTTTATGACACTCTCATGTCTGTAGAAGCCTATTTCCATCTAGTGACTCTCATCTCACTCTCATCTCTAGTAGGCCATGTTTATGACACTCTCATGTCTGTAGAAGCCTATTTCCATCTAGTGACTCTCATCTCACTCTCACCTCTAGTAGGCCATGTTTATGACACTCTCATGTCTGTAGAAGCCTATTTCCATCTAGTGACTCTCATCTCACTCTCATCTCTAGTAGGCCATGTTTATGACACTCTCATGTCTGTAGAAGCCTATTTCCATCTAGTGACTCTCATCTCACTCTCATCTCTAGTAGGCCCATGACACTATCACTGTAGAAGCCTATTTGTCATCTAGAAGCCTATTTCCATCTAGTGACTCTCATGTCTGTAGAAACCTATTTCCATCTAGTGACTCTCATCTCTAGTCCATTAGGCCATGTTTATGACACTCTCATGTCTGTAGAAGCCTATTTCCATCTAGTGACTCTCATCTCACTCCATGTTCATCTCTCATGTAGGCCATGTTTATGACACTCTCATGTCTGTAGAAGCCCTATTTCCATCTAGTGACTCTCATCTCACTCTCACCTCTAGTAGGCCATGTTTATGACACTCTGAACATGTTTGTAGAAGCCTATTTCCATCTAGTGACTCTCATCTCATCTTAAGCGATCTCACCTCTAGTAAATTAAGGAACACAAAGCTTCACCAATCTGTTGAGAGACTTACTTGCTAAGGGTGCAACTCACAGGTCTCTACGATTCAACTCTGTTAACTTTTACATCAGTTGCTATGTTTTAAAGATCACATGGTCATATCAGTAGCACATAATGTACCCGTTGAGGTGAAGAGCGCTTGTCTTGTCTGCAGGTTCAGTCAAAGGTGATGACGTTTTAACACGTGTTTATCAAAATATGCTGCTGCCTGTTTAAGAAAGTAAAATTGCAAATGCCGTCCACTATGTACCAGATGACATTTCAAGATGGCAGCGGCCGAAACGCCGACATCTGGGCGACACTCACCGGCGTGTATAAGGGTGGGTCAGCCCCGGAACAGGTGTACGGGATTATCTATGTTTCCGGCTTGAACAGGACCTTTAACATCACCCCGACGGCAGCCAATATTGGGTTTGAAGTGAGTATGCCGTACGTATTTAAAGGGACATTCGGCGCGAAGAAAGCGCAAGTCCCAGCCAGTATGATTCAAGTAGTTTAAACATCACGTACGTCATCAGTGATGTATCATACCTGTAAAGAATGCGTTAAGTTACGAATGTGAGACGACTTGCACTTTAGATTATGCATGTTGTATCGACGGTTCAATTTTATATGCATATTGGTCTATCAAGCAAATAAATTCCTACCCAAAACGATACTTAAATTGGCACGTGGCAGTACTTCAATACCTCAAACATTAGCTGGAAATTGTGTGTTTCCAATGATTGCTCTTCAAATGGATTAATATCAGTTGGGTATGAGTTACCTCTGTTAAGTATTCCACACTTGGTACTTAATCCTCATCAATGAGATCGGGTAACAGCACGTTGAACGTATTTCAGGTACATGTAGATACAGAGCGATGGGATAGCCTTGTGACTGAAGCGTTGGTTTGTTACGTTCACCTTCTGTGGTGTGCCATGGGTCCTGGAATGAAGGAAAATCACCGAAGCAACAATTAATGTCGGTACATCAGAAAATGGTGCTTCCAATGCCTCAATCTTCAGGCTTCAGCACCTACACATATTTACTGTTGCAGTACCCAGTGAGCAAGATCTTCTCTGCAGCTGATCCAACAAAGCAGTACGACTTCAGCGACAGCAAACCCTTCACCATCCCGCCATGCCAACTGGAATTCTGCATGTACTATACGTCACCAGTTATAAAATATAAGTAAGGCACCTATTGTTCATATTTCGCAAAAGTCAGCTTTCCAGATTGATATGCAAATACGTCTCTTGTGAATTAAGAACATCCAAGAACATTAAGAGCTATCTACAGCACCAACTTCAAGGTAACGTGTTAACTGTTCTTATCAGTTATGTATGTTTCACGAGGTAAACAGGAAAATATAAAGGAAATATACATTTGTATCATCTTCCGTAGAAATCTGTTTTTTGAACATGGGACTTAAATATATTCCGTTAAATTCCACCAAATTCCGTAGATGTTTGTTGGCGGTGGGCGGTGTTATCCACATGGGTGCAGTATGTGAAGTTCACATCTAGTGTCCCCGACAGCGATAATGGTCTCAGCTCCATCTTTCTGCTCACTGATTTCACCCAAGTGTTAAATGTCTAAGATCTGAATCACTCCCATCTTTCCTTCCACATCAGTCTGACAGGCCGTTATGTAACTGAAATACTGTTGTACGCTGCAGTAAACACTTACCCGCATTGACTATTTGTTGCAGAAATAGAGAAGTTCTCGTCCTGGGTGAATTGGAAAAGTGGGTACCAATGTCTCACAACAGGATCGTTAATGTCACCGTCGGCGACGTCATCACTGTCCACGTCAAGGGTCAGGCGGGAGAGAGTGTTGAGATGTGGTTTGCCGATGATGTACGGTTCGGTGCTTTGAAAACTATTATAGGGACAGACGGCCTGGGTAGTATCATATATGAAATAAAATCTCATCCTGTTAACAACTCTGACCTCAGAAGAGCTTCAACGGTTGCTGTTGTCATGGGTATCCTAGCAACAATGATGCTCATGATGTAAGACGAAACTGACTGCATTGTTGCTGGTTGGTCGACACAAGGCCAAAACTCCATCTCATCTCATTGGGTTAATTCTGTATTAATAAGCAGTTACATTTTGATGGTATACTACTTTTTCCTTTAATGTGACAGAGATATCCGTACCGTTCGATTGGGTGTTTTTGTTCTTTTAAAGCTTGGTGCGGATTTGAACTGAACCATTCTGTCCTTCCAAAGTCGGCACAAACAAAGCTCTCGTTCATACAGGTCCTGACACAACTGAAGAGTATCAGGCATTGTGCAATACATTTACCATTCTAGATTTCTTCACTTGTTCTGGGCTACTTTCTATTACATACAAAAGTTAACATATTATGACCTAACATATCTTTTCCAAGCCTGTGAATGATGCACAATTAGTACCTGCTTTGGTACTAATTTTTCGTAATAAACTATCGGAATCTGTGACCACAAAAACATCTCCCAAAACAAAATGTGCAACTGTCAATGATCACCTGTATCACACGGAATCAGCTCCATGCGAAATGCATAATGCCAAGGTATATGTTTGGTGGGAAATGTTTTCTATGGGACTAATTCCCCCGAGAAGATGTTTACAAAGGATGTTTACCGCTATGGTAACAGATACTCTTTGGCACCGTCCCTTTGAATTGGTGCGTAAGTGTTCCTCTCCTATGCATTAATTGTTTGGCCTGTCGAAAATCAGAAAGTTTTGTCACACACACATAACTATAACACCTTTGTTCACTTGGCTTGTTTTGTTTGGAAGAATGTATCAGAATGTATGGTGTTTGCTATGTACCTGGGCCGTAAGATAGTCGTAAGTTTATGTTAATGTAAGGCACTTACGACTATCTCAGCGCTTAGAGAGCTTCGAAAATCTGGGCCCTGACCAAACAAGAATTGTGTGTGGGACCGAAAGTTTAACTCGGTTTACATTGAGTTCCGTGTAAGAAATTAACATGGTTACTTTTTTATGGTAAAGTTTTTATTAAATCAATGTTTGGTTTGGGAAGGTTCCGCTCTAATGTTATGCTAATCGATCGACCGTTTAGTCGAGGATCCAGACTGGCAGATACTTTACAGCAGGTCACTTTAACATGTTGTACAGTTCCGGTGGTGAGATCACTGCGGGGTGATCCAGGAAACCGTTGTATCAAAGCCTTGTAAGCGATAGGCTGTTCTAAGCCCTGAATGGTTCCATCTTCATGTTTCATTACTTTATGGTATCAACAAAATGGGTTGTTCAAATCGGTTATTGAACTGCCAGATTGCCAATAATGTGTCATTAGATTTGTATATTCACATATTATTGTCCGACAAATCCGCTTCAGAAACAATCACTTTCTCCTTTCTTTCTTCTTCAAAGTGGTATGAGTTTTTACGATTCTTCCTACTTGCCAAATGTATCTCTTCTGACAATCTTTTGGTAATTTACTTATGGTGTTCACAAAAATGCAAAGCAACACATACAGCCATGTGCTTGCACTAACGAAGCCTGTCTCCATCTTAGCGCATATTATCGTTCATGTTTTGTATAAAGCCTCCTGTTACGTTAGTGCCACGCTGAGGTATGGATGGTGTCATTGAAAGTTTGAAATAATGTATGTATTGTGTTTCCAGAATTAATGGGGGGTTTACAACTTGATAGTGAAACATTTTAGTTTTTATCTTGCCTTCATGTAAAATACTTTAATTTCATTGGTCAATGACGCTTTAACAAGTTTCCGTGTCACCAATCCCAGGAGGGTGACAACTGGAAAAAATATTACCCGCTGCCACGGTTACCGCTAATCTCTCCATCGAGAAGCTGTATCGCTAACAATCGTATGACGTCATAACATGACGCATACAGTGCACGGAGTTCGAAACCTGTTTGCGTCATGTTTTTGAGTCCACTATGTACACATTTATTTTACCGGCTTTCAGTTCTTTATTTAATTACTATTTTATATATTGGATCGTTTTGCACACTCAACGTAAACATAATTAACCATTTTTATGGCAATTTTTAGAACTTATCGATCTTCAAAATAAAATGATATTTTGTACATTTAACATGGCGGTAAGATAAATACGTTGTAAACGGCTCGGATGACACTACTACAATGAAGCGTACATCAGACCGTATTACGCTCGAGAGAAGCATACAACTTATAGCATCAACCCTTCCCATGTCATATTACTGCTATGAAATGTACGTTTGGCGTCAGATCAAACCTTGCCATGACAAGGATCTCTTTTTATATTAAGGCTTGTACAATAACAATCTGGTGACAAGGGCTTTAAGATGTGAGTATGTATGAAAATGATTTCAATGTGTACCTTTGTCACGTGCGACGACTTGCGGTTTGGTCGGGTAACCATACAGACTGTATACTGAATGTGTTTGATGCTATTGTATGTAACATGCACTGTAAGAAGACATGACATTGAAGAAGCGATGAAGGTTTGACCCTTAAGGGGTTTGATATGCACTGTGGGCAATAAGAGAAGACGTCAAAAGCTTTCTTAAACCATTGGTTATCATATATTTACCTTCGTTTTGATTATTTTCTATCACCTTTCATAATTATTGCATCCAGTTAGAATGCGTTGTATTCAAATATATGTGTCTTGATCTTTATAATAAAGCTAACAAATATCACCACGTGTTTAACGGTACCCAAACCTTAGCCTTTCACGCGGGCTGTGAAAGTTGAGCCTCCATCGGGAATTATTCAGTAGAACATTGTTTGTTTGCTTATTGTTGTCAGTTGCTGTCAGCAAGGTTCCCGCTGTATTACGACGCTCCGTACACAATCGACTATTAAAAGCCAACTAGTGGTTTCGGTATCTTTAACAACTCCCACATCGCGGATACGATGGCAAGAGATGACTGAGCACATACCAAGACCATCCGATGTTCTTAAGTCGGCTCTTTCCACCTGCATGGCAACGACGAGCCATGGATATATCAGTAGATGTATACTATGGCTGCAATATTGCCGATGTGACGTTAAATAATAACTCACTCACTCACTCAGTAGATGTATACACATTTCACACCTTGTGGTGGCACAATTGTACCTGATGGTCAATCGTTTGAATGGTTGCGTTATCCCAAATCACGTCAAGAGTTGGTAATTGTTTCACATGGATACTCCTCTCAGACACAGTGTAGTGAGTCCGGACAGACAAGTCATGTTCATGCCTTGCGTCACGCAGGATATAGCAGGGGGTGGGGGTAAGTACAGGACAGGCAGTTGCTGGCAACGAATTATTAACTGAAATACCTTTAGACGTCTTTACGATCAGCAATTTCCACAACTCAACAAACACCGCATTTGATGTTGTGGTAAGCTACAAGCAAGGTTGAAGAAACTCACATGCTATAAATTGTTTCATATTTCAAAGTTATTTTCTGAACATTTGACTCTTTTTTAAGTTGCTGGCCAAATGAGAGAGTGAGTGAGTGAATGATGCTTTGACCCGCATCAGCACTTTTGCAGCTATACTGTGCAAGCGTCTCAAACGTTTACCAAATCTATGAGAAGTAAAAAAGAATATAATCCAAACATCTATCATTACTTTACTGGGACTTTGTTGATAAAATAAAACTGCAACTTTCAAATTATGCTGGGCAGGAATTGCCCAGTTGTCTCAGGCGCTAAAACATGTTGTGCAGAGTTGGGTTCCTTGGACTGACCAGAACGCCATGTTTGTAGCTTACATTCTGTCATGTCATGTCCTTTTCCTAGATGTTTTCAGCAACATATCATGCTACTACGTGATTAACGTTTTAGATCCACATCACTTCCTTCCCCAACGAGACATGACATACTGTGTTCCGCTTGTCAATTGAAACTGTAGGATGTTCATAGAACGATGAAAAAAGATTCTGAAGCAAAGAAAACAAAACAAAAAACATCAATTTGAATGCTGTCATGCTTAAATTATTTTTGTCATCTCTGAATACATTATGTCATCAACAAAGTAGTTCTTGAAAGGCATTTAGAAGTTTATGACAAACATAAATATAGGACACGTTGTATAGATAACGTCTTTTTATTCTTTACACGACGTTCAAAGTTAATTCTTGCTCCTTCATCAGAAGAATGAATTATCGTGAGAAAGAATAAAAAGAAGTTGTTTTCATAAAACATGTCATGTATTCATCAACAGAGTAGTCAGTAAACGATATGTTTATACCTAACTAAAACAACGATGGAAATCCACGTCTACATATTTGACAATGATCAACGTATCCAACCTATGGGACAAGAAATCCTTACGCCTATGAACCTTTCTGCGTATCTTACATCCCATGGAGGAGATAAACATTAGTTTTTCATTCGGTCGATGGACGCTTCCTTTCACATGTACAACCACACAGATCATGTTCCACTGTGTCTTAAACAAATGTATGCAGCGTAATAAAATCTCCCTCCTCTTTTGGGAGCATGTACAAATGTACGGCACTTCGCGAGACCTTAGTACTTCCGGTGACAAACAACGTTTCATACCTTTTCGAATGGTCACATCAAATCCTTGAAGGGCATTTAGAAGTAGAATGCATGAGAAAAGCAAGATTTATGGATGTCAACTTCTTTATTGTGAATAACACCACGTTTCGGAGCTTATGCTTGCTCCTTCACCCGAAACGCTCGAAAAACGTCGTATTATTAACAATAAAGAAGTTTACATCCATAAATCTTGCTTTTCGAATGGTCCCATGGTTCTCAGTTGACAGTAAGGAAGCGATAATCATTGCAGGAATAACAAATTTCCGATCTAACCATCCCCACATTAGCCAACTGTTACGACTATCAACAGCTGGGACCAGACAAGTATGGTTGTACACGTGGTTCGGTCTAGTAAAGTCATATTTGGCCGTCGCAAACTGGTTCATGCTAGAAACAACTACGTCTTACAAATACTTAGGAGTTTATTTTACAAACCACCTACCGTGGTCCTTACATGTCAGAAATGCATCGATGCAAGCAAAGAAAATACTAATTGGTATTATTAGATATATTTATATTTTAGGTGACTTGTCACACAAATCATTTTTTAGAATGTTTGATGCTAAGATTAGTCCCATACTTCTATATGGTTCTGAGATTTGGGGAGTCCAAACATTTCATACACTAGAAAAAGAACATTTGTACGCAATTAAAATATTTCTCGGTGTGAAAGTTACTACTTCAAACATAATGGGTTATGGTGAATGTGGTAGAAAGCAGTAAAATATTAGTTAAAACTCTTAAATATGCCATCTTACAGATTACCCAAAAATGTTACAATATGATGATTTTGTACGATAGAAATCATTATGGAAAACGTGATTAGGTCACAGATGTTAAAAATTTACTATTCCTTCCGGTTTCGATAATATATTGCTAGAACAGTGTATAGAGTTGCATCCAAATTTTCTCATGTCCACTAAACAAAGGTTACAATATATATCTGTATCAAATAAATGTTTTTATTACAGAATGTTTAAGCAATCGATATACAATAAAACCTATTTATCATCTTTACATGTTCGGAAATATTTGATAATAGAAACGTATATATATTGGAATAAGAAAAGAAGATGGAATATGTAAAATGTGTGATTTGAATCTAATTGAAGATGTATATCATTTTCATTGTGTCTGTGCAGCCTACCACACTTTGAGAAATAAGAATATTAAGAACTATTACTTTGTACATCAGAATATTTATAAATTTATATCTCTATTAACCTATTCTAGCAAGGAACACCTTGAAACATTGTCAATTTTTCAGTATCATGCCTTTCTACACAGAAAAAAAGTACTCTCTCAACTGCCTAATAATAATAGTGTCTGTATACATGTACTATAGGCCTGTGACATATTAAGTGCAAATAAAGATTGATTGAACTGGCTATTGAATATACGTTTGTGACCAGAAATCTGGTACTGGCAGTAAGCTGGGTCCCGTCTCGCACATCGCAAGTTGGCGCCGTCAAAGGGCCCCGGGAACCAGCTAAATACCGGAAGTAGCGCCTCGCGAGACTTACAGGCCCTATTTCACTTTTGGGCATGACCAAGTAGAGTAGGATATATCTTCTAATTTACTAACTTCTGTTTATGAGTTGTGACAAACCTTATACTTTCCTTATGATCCGCAGGAGAACACCAACCAACATGTCCACAAAACGTCGCATTACCTCACAAAATATTCTGTTCCACCATACACATTCCACATTTTCAATACACCAGCCCCCTTAACCAATCTTTATCAACACCACTGAAACTATGACGGTTTGATAAGGGCTGCTTTTGGTTATGGGTCACGTGATTATCGGACCGCTATACTACACGTTGTGCAGCTGTACTTTGTCCTGTACGAGATGAAATACGAGGTGACTAAGGTGGCAGATAACGCCTACATCGAAACAACATCGGTTCCCGCAACTAAATCATGGCTGGCTACTGGTCCGGTGCTGTACTACTCTGTGTGTGTTTTACCTGCTTCCCAATTACAGGTACGTTATGTCTGTCGTGTCACAGATAATATTATCAATATATTCCTACGTGTTCTGAAACAAGTCATGTTGATTACTGTTATCTCAATCCCGTGAAATAGGGTCTAGAACTGTGGCCTATATGTTCACAGTGTCACCTGTGACAGATAATATGTGTTGAATATGATACTGATTGTCAAAGAGACCCTGGAATGTCACAAAGAAATCATTAACTTGTAACAAATAAGAAGATCCACGTCAATACACATATCTTTACATGTAAACTAACGACGGAAGACTAGAGAATGATACTTATTTAACATTCGAGTTACCGTAAAACACCGTTGTGTCGAACTTATTACTGTCAGGAAATATAATTGTGGTCCCTTCGTATGCTTTCTTTATTCATCATTTTCGGCTTAGTCAAATGTTGCAATACTCAAAGTATTTATGTTGGTCGCTTCAAATGTGCCGCCTTCGAGTGCTCGACTGAAATTAGAAATATATTTCCAAACAGTGCCGCTACATGTGTTGGATTCAAAAGCTAGTTATAATATGAGGTTTTGGGGCTGGCGTATGCAAAGGTGAAATACCAGCGTCACCCAGATACAAGTGAGATGTAAGTGGGTTTATTGTTACACTGACGGCAAGACTGAGATGTAGGTGGGTTTATTGTTACACTGACGACAAGAGTGAGATGTAGGTGGGTTCATTGTTACACTGACGGCAAGACTGAGATGTAGATGGGTTTATTGTTACACTGACGGCAAGAGTGAGATGTAGGTGGGTATATTGTTACACTGACGGCAAGAGTGAGATGTAGGTGGGTTTATTGTTACACTGACGGCAAGAGTGAGATGTAAGTGGGTTTATTGTTACACTGACGGCAAGACTGAGATGTAGGTGGGTTTATTGTTACACTGACGACAAGAGTGAGATGTAGGTGGGTTTATTGTTACACTGACGGCAAGACTGAGATGTAGATGGGTTTATTGTTACACTGACGGCAAGAGTGAGATGTAGGTGGGTATATTGTTACACTGACGGCAAGAGTGAGATGTAGGTGGGTTTATTGTAACACTGAGGGTGAGAGTGAGATGTAGGTGGGTTTATTGTTACACTGACGGCAAGAGTGAGATGTAGGTGGGTTTATTGTTACACTGACGGCAAGAGTGAGATGTAGGTGGGTTTATTGTTACACTGACGGCAAGAGTGAGATGTAGGTGGGCTTATTGTTGCACTGACGGCAAGAGTGAGATGTAGCTGGGTTTATTGTAAGACTGACGGCAAGAGTGAGATGTAGGTGGCTTTATTGTTACACTGACGGCAAGAGTGAGATGTAGGTGGGTTTATTGTAACACTGAGGGTGACAGTGAGATGTAGGTGGGTTTATTGTTGCACTGACGGCAAGAGTGAGATGTAGGTGGCTTTATTGTTACACTGACGGTGAGAGTGAGATGCAGGTCGGTTTATTGTTACACTGACGGCAAGAGTGAGATGTAGGTGGGTTTATTGTTACACTGACGGTGAGAGTGAGATGTAGGTGGGTTTATTGTTACACTGACGGTGAGAGTGAGATGTAGGTGGGTTTATAGTTTATTAATCGTAATTATCCAAGAGACATATTTCAGGGACAGGGACGTCCACATTTCTCCCTAACTAATAAAACGGAGGTTACTCGTGGAAGAGATCAGACTAATCATTGGTTGACAATTCATCTTGTCGATTGTCTTTGACAGCGGTTGGTTTCAGCCATCTTGGATAACAGCGGTTATACTCTGGTTATACCAGGCTGTACATTTGTTCATGGTTTGTTTATCACTGACCCTTGTCAAGGCCGATTATGGCTTTGATCCCTCAGATCTTTTGTTTCTGTTTGCTTCTGATAATAGAACTGTGTACAATATTTTCTTAGTTAATGACATCCGATCTCAGGAGCACAGCTCTGTGACACCTCGCGTCTTCCCTTGTTGTACTGTTGTAGTGCCTCCGGCTCTTCAGCGTGACGACCAAACACTTTAACTACTAGGCTACCCCACCGCCCTCTAAATTAGAACTCGGTCGCATATCCTGTTTGTAAAGATGATCTTCATACAACTTCTGGTGTTGACTTGATGTGAGATGAGAGAGGCACAACCTTCCCACTTGTGTAGCGTCTTCTGGATTACTCTGCATCTGCTACGATTACAGGTACACTTGATTCCACAAACATCAACATGTAGTAACTTCCAAACCAGTGTTTACATTGTAACGCGTTCCTGACAGCTAGGTTTATCAGAAACGAAGTGCTAAAACGTTTGGTTCCAACTCTACAGTGGGACTGTTTCAAGTAGGAACCACAATAGGTATATCTCCTACATCGGGTGTTTACTGTGTGTAACCTTTACCTTAACATTTCATGATGTCCCGATGGTAAGGACTTCTTGCATCAACCAACGCACTTGCTCAGAGAGTCGTGATTTATTACAAAGCTAAATAACCTGCCTCCTTTTCAGATTGTGGTAAACATTTCCTACTTGTTTGGTTTATCCAGTGTTGATGATTACCGGGGCGATAGCATGAAGTTAGTCTGGCTCACAGTTATTTGTCCTTCCGTGAAGTCCTTTGTGTAATGGGGCCGATAGCCCTTTGGTTAAAGCCTCCGCTAGTAACTCTGAAGACCCGGTTTCTATTCCCCACATGGATATACAATGTGTGAAGCCCATTTCTGGTGTGCCCCACTGTGATATTGCTGGAATATTGCTAAAAGCGGCGTAAAACCATACTCACTCACTCACCTACACGTGTAATGCAAACGACACATATGAAGCAAGTGTAGATTTTACTGAGGTTCAGAATCTCCAATCTCACAGGGCATTTCAGTCTTAATGGAGAAGTTTTTGTTCTATCACAAATACTTATTTTCAGGGACTGAGCGTCAAAGGAATATCTACCGAAACTTAAGAAACCTCAAACTTTGTAGTATTTAGAATCTGGTATGATGAAGAGGAATAACATTAATGGTGCTTCATTTCGGTGTTAGCATTTTGTCTATCCATAGAATTTGTTCCTATTCAACTACCACAAACTACTGTCTGAGATACCCGGGTGCCCTTGGACAAATAATCTTAGCGCATGGTGGTCGTTTTCCCCATTCCTTAACAGAGACTTAGAGCAGTCGTAGGACTAATGTTGTTTGTACAGTGGCACTCGGTTCTATATAGTCCCACCCCAGAGTTAAACACTTACACGTGTATAACCGGATATGTTTCAGCCGATGCCGATGTCTTCAGTGTAGCTACCTTCCCAGACGGACGTTACGAGATAAAGATCAATAATGTCACGTGGTTGAGCAGCGCCCCAACATTCTTCGTCATCAACGACACGCGCTTCTCCGCCGATGATGGCAGCCTCGTTCTCGACAGTATCAACACTACCATATCCGGTACAGGCCAGTTCGGGGTCGAGGTCTCCAAGAACTTCCATTACCGAGCTGGTGACGTTCCAGTCATCACGAGTATCGTCATATACGGGACATCAATCATGTCATTCATAGTGGTAATGTACCTTTCAAACTTTTCAACGTGCAGAACGCAAAAAATAATCTTTATTGTAGATGGATGTAAATACATTTACATTGATGCTTCTCATTTCGTTTTACATTATTGTAATTATTGTTACGTTAGGGAACAGTCTTTACTTATAACATGTTCTTTCTACGATACACATCTAGCTGGAAATTTCGGCTGCGTTTGTAAATAGTTACGTTATCTGATTGTTTCGGACTTCCTCTGTTCCCGTCCACTTGCTTTGTTTTGTATAAGTTGTAAACAATATGTGTTTGGAGTTTCTGCAAGGAAGCACTTTAACAAACACGAGGATAATTTGGATATTCATGATGACTCTTTCATTTCATTTTGATGAAGCGCTTCCCCGACGGAGCCTCAAACACAAATCAAAGCAACATAGACGGTGTTATCTGTGGTTACCCCGGATTCAAACTGGACACCACGTCCAAACTGGGATACATGTCGTTCGGGGGAGCTGACTTTCAACAGTCCGTCGGAAGGTAAGCTACTCGGTGAATACTAGGACAATTGCTATTTGCACTGCAAGTAACAATCCAAAACTTTGTTTTCTAAGTAAGGATTAGATATAACCTCTATATTTACAATGTAGAGCAACGATTCGGTGTAGATTCTAACACTGCTATAAAACAGGTGATGTACAGGGTGGTGTAGGGAAGCTAATATACAGATATGAAGTAGCGTTTTACAATGGAGCAGAGACGCCTGTTGAATACATAGGAGAGAATCTGAGATACATTAGGTCCTTACAAATGAAACCAGTCGAATTACCACAGAAGGATTACCTCTGATTGAAGTCTTTGATGAGATGATGGTAAGCTGGGGTATGTATCAGCCTTGGTCATGACTGATAGATAGTTGAAATCTTTAATATGGATGTCTTCTTGGAGATGTCTGAGTTTGAAGTGAGGGCTCTGATTTTGTCCTACTGGATGCTGTGGTTTTAACGAATATGGTCAGATGGATCTGATTTCATGTCTTGTTTAGACACCGAGCAATGTTATGTTGATGCTTGTTATCGTATCCCAGCAACGTAGATAGATGCTCCAGGTGTCAATCACCCGATAGTCTTGTTGAGACTCGACTATGTACAGGCCACTGTAGCTGGTTTACTGCGTGTCCCGAGACATACGAAAACTGGATACGATCTATTCTCTTGTCTCTTACCTGACGGCACGTATTTGGCTTCTTGGGCTTACTGCATTGATACATTAACAGACTCAATGTCAACTAATGAAAAACAATATATGTCGGAATCTCAGTGTGTGAAATAATATCAAATGCTGGAATTACTTCCATGGAGTGAGTGAGTTGCTTTGAGTAATATTCCAGCAATATTGGGACACCAAAAATGGGCGTCACACTGCACCCATGTGGGGAATCGAACCCAGGTCTTCGGCGTGACGGGCGAACGCTTTAAACACTAGGCTACCCCACCGCCCCACTCCCATGGAAGATCGTAAAGATGAGTAAGAACATACAGATCGAAAAATGTCTCTTCAAAGATTTGTGCAGTGTCGGGGTTACAGCACGACAGCTTTGAGATTGGTTTGTACCAGACCTTATTGGGATGTTTCTAATGTTCACCCTTCAGTCATAATTTCCCAAATGTCCTTTCTTCTTTTGCGGGAACACTTGACTTGCCTCCGACTGCCACCCGTGAGCATCTGATATGATCCTTATGACACAGTGGAATCGGTGATTTGTTATTACGAATATAGTTCCTGTCCCCAATCATATTGAGTACATTTCGTCACCTGAATAAGTTTATTTCTTATTTCAAGATCCAAAAAAAATGCAAATAAATTCCCATACATAATATCTCCCTGTTACTGGAATATTCTGGGCTGCCTGTGGTCATGCACGAACATATTACTGTATCTGACACTCACGAAACACTGACTTTTCTTCAGATGGGATCCGTCCGCATCCATCCATGATGGTTTGGAAGGTTCCAGCCCCTTCTCAGTGTTTGACACAAGAGGAAATGCTGTGGCATTTGGACAACTGAATAATGTCATGACGACACCAATGTGGCACGACAAAACCAACAACTTCCTGTACTATGGAATTATGGGAGGAATCGAACAGATCCCGACAAATTTCTCCTACCACATTTTGGCAGCATATTCCTCAGGGGGACCTGAAAGTGTAATTAGATATTCTATTTAGTGAACATCTCGTCGGCTCGTTTGAGGAATAAATGGTGTTTAAAGGGTTATTCATTCAGCGACTATATTTTGTCCATTTCTGAATTTCAAGTAGGTTCTAAGAAAAGGGAGTTTGGATCAAGTCGATAAACAAAATGGCTGCCGTACCTCGTTTTCATCCAAATACTAAAGACACCAAGCGTAATCCTTGCCACATGCACGAGTAAAGCACACACAAGGTACAACCAGACATGTCGGTAGTCCTTGTGTCTTCAACAGGTATTGAAGGTTAATGTTGTTTATGAGTAAACAGAGTTTCAGTGTCGTTGGTCTGTAGGCATGTCGTTATTGTTGGTTTCGGTGCACACCGTGTCTTCGTCCTTACCAATAGGCACCGTGTTATTGACGCAGTTCTGTCGAACATATTAAAGACAACCATCTGCTCTGAATATCATCCTCTATATACATGGGAATATGTGTTAGTCTGTTACGATTAAGATCTACATTTTTAACTTATCCAAATGTGTTGGGATTTGAATGCTTCTATTTCTGAGATGAAATATTTCAATATACTTTCATTGAAAACACAGAAAGGCATCCCTTCCATACCAAAAACAACCTCAACATATAAAACATCCATCTGGTAGGATAATCAGTTATGTTGTACATAGTTTCATCAGCGGACTATCATCGGGTTCTGCCAGGACAATATGCCTGTGTATAGCTCTGGAGTATAGCTCTGTGATACCGACTAAATATACATGTATACCCAGCACACTTTGAAACTGTCGACAAACCAATATTCGTTAGCAGAAACTAAAACTCTCTCTCTCTTAATAGATTATTTTGTGTTCCTGACGTTAGATAATGTTTCCGTACAACTTCTTCAAAGTGGTGATTTTATTTTCAACTTTTCAGAGTCTGTCTGTGTGGGGTTTCGTAATCAGGAGCTTTGTATAGAAGGAAGATAAACCGGCGGATCCCTCTGGGGACACACTGGGGTACTGGACAGATGAAGGTGACCTTAAACAATTTAATTAATGTCTACTTTAGGTCATTGCTGGTACAAGAATCCGTATAGACGCGTCTCACCCACGAAATACAACAGTTGTTATCCATAAAGTATGTTAAATAGTGAGCTTGAGGTCTTGGCTTTGAATGTTTTGAGACAGTTTCAGGGCAGATTTTTGTTTCTCCACAAACGTGTCAGTTGTAATGTTTATTGTCTGAATAGAGTACGTGAGTATAGTTTTAGCAATATTTCGGCAATATCATGAGATACAGGCTTCCCACATTGTATCCATGTTGGGAACCGAACCCGGGTCTTCAGTGTCACGAGCGGACGCTTTAACCTCCAGGCTACCTGTCTCAATAGAAGTCATCAAGCAATATCTAACGACTCAAAGGCACAAGATAATAGTATCACCAACATATGTCACATTGAAATCCCCTTGTGTACAATGATAACTTCCAGTCACCTAAATCGAGGGTTTGAATCCCACTTGGTATTTGTCTAGGTTTGGTAGCACCATACAAATGTTCTTTTGTTTTCGAAGAGTGGTGAATGCCTCAGACCTGCATCCCTTCGGTGGGACCTTCTGCCTTCATGTGCCTACTGTTTCTATGTCAAGGCGTCAACGTCCTACTATTTCCATGTCAATGTTACAGGGTCCTACTATTTCGATAAAACCGATGGAACATCAACGTATGAAGATACATTGATCAAAGTGTTTGCTGATGCCCGCAATAGAAGTATACAATACAGGTACCTGTATAGTTTTGGTACAATAGGACAACAATTGATAAGATGGCGTATTGCGTCGATGAGGCAATGTATTTATGATTAATTTACAGTATATATATCTTGATAACTGAAACATCTGGCCGATTGAGTCGCCTGAGGTGCAGATTTGTGTGACATTTATGTATTTCCGATGACTGAATATTTTAGACCAAAATCATGAAAAATGGTTCCAGTGCCGCGATATGTGATTAACGTGAACATATCCTGCAACGTAGCATGTTACCCATACGCTGTGATATATCTCTATTTGCACAACAGATAATTTTTATTCATTCATCTTTTGGTTCGGAACATATATCCTCATTCCTTTTTCTCCTCTTTCGATGCTTATCTTTCTTTTATTCCTAAATCTTCCGTATTCCTTGGTCACGTATTCTGCAAATGATCTATTGTTATTCCTAATGCATGCACTCCTCGTATATACGCTTATTTCTGTTTCATATCTTCTGCAGGTATGTAGAACTGGACACCTGGTGGTTTACAAAAGGTCAAGGTGGAGGGGTCAAGGAGTGGACAGCACCAGCAGACATCTTCCCCAACGGCATCGAGTACGTCTACAGTAATCTAACATTACTGGTGGTAAATCAGTTTCCCTATTGACACATTGATATTAATGGTAACACTGTACTACCAAATATTTTTAGTGTTCATCAATACATAGGTAGCCCGACTAAACAACATTCTATACGATTTACAACTTTGTACAGATTGTGTTCGGTTTTGCACAAGTTCTGAAGGAGAAATTGAACGTAATGATAAATCCCAGCAACCCTCAACCCTTATGTAGCAAGTCATTCACACACGCACGCACGCACGCACGCGTGCGAAAAATAGAAAACAGAGTTTTTGGTGGAAGGGTAGTTGTCTTGACATATCCCGCTTTAAGACCTGACCTGCCCATTGAGAATAAGATGATGACATGCATTGTTTTGTTGTGGACTAGTCGGACAACACCACCTTCAGAACGATCTGGGAAAACGGTAATACAGATATAATGAATGTTATGTTTGTTTTCAGGTATGTCCACAGGAGTTTGAACGTACCTATTGTGGCGAAAAATAATTTCTGGTGAGTTGTGAGAAGGGAGCTTCGCAGAATGAACTAAGTGAAAGCATTAACATACTTTAGTCTTTGACGGCTCAGTAGGGACATGATCGGGTTGTCTGTGTCTTAGTTGGGTGAGGGGCTCGGCCAGTTGTCCTGGAGGCAGTGACTTCGCTACACTTCCGAGGACATTGTTTCGTGGTCTGTTGTGAAAAGCACTACGATGTCCAGAAGGACATTAATTATGTTACGTTGATTCCGTGAAACTGTGGCACGTTCAAAAGAACTAATTTCAATATTTATTTATTGCAGGTCCAGTGATAACCTATACGCAACACAAAATGGCGGACAGTTCAATTTTGAAATGGAAGGAGACATGGCAATACCGACAGATGAGGCATTTACAAATATTATTGATTTATACATATAGTTTACATTGAGTGTGGAACGGTTTATTTCATCAAAGTAACTGGTCTTGTTTCATAATAATATGATATATTTAGGTAATCATTTTTAATACTGAAATATGGAACCATGAAGATTTAGTATTTGAAATACGACAAGTGTATCATGATGTGTCCACAAACAATGTCACTTAAAGGAAGTGATCTACTGATCCACTCAATTTTTAACCACTCTGACCCTGACTTTAAACCAATCACCAGCGCCCTGTGGTGGTTGTAAGAGGCGACTAAAAAGATCCTTTGGTCAGGCTATGGTGTTTGGTAGATGGCGTGTCATCATACTACGAAAGCGTGGAGTGACTGAGAGAGCTGGATTTTTACGCCGCGTTTTAAAGCTTGTCTCATGCTGAGTCTACCTCAACAAACAATGCAACAATCTACCAATGAAGGAGCAGTGAAAATACTTTTCGATTCGGAACCATGTGACGTCAGTGAATGATTTGTATATTTCCAGGCGTTCTGGGACAAAATCTTCAGTGATTCCAAGCAGTGGGGATTGGCCACATATATACAGGTAGGATTTGCCACCATGCGCTCTCGATTATATTCTGCACTGAATTATGCATCGATATTTCTTCAAAAAGGCTTTCTTAGAACGTTAACGCTGATGACGTCACAAAACAATCAGACGTTTCAGTGTAATCGATATTCTAAAGAGGCGGTCGTGAATTGTTTTATGGTACATATTGAACAAACAGGGTATTAGCAGAATGTTAGTAGTAAGTGTATGTCCCGGTTCTTATTGTTATACACGTGAAATGAAAGTTCTGTACGGAACAATATATGCTGCATGCTTTATATTCGCGCAATTTCTAAACAATGATGACAAAAATCCTTCCTGACTGATACAGAAGTGCCCGAGGGTCTCAGTGATGTTGCAAATACTTTACAATACCGCTTATTGCGAAGTTTAATCTATGTGTATCAGTCAACAGAATATTGTCTCCTGCAGGACAACATGACGGAAATATTCCGTACTTTCCCACGGATGCAGACGGACCTTAACTTTGCGCGAGATTGGTTGGTTAAAATGGCGGCGTCTGCTTTGAAACACAACATCACCATCCAGTACAGTGGAGCCACCCCAACGATGGCGCTCTTGGCACTCCAGTTACCGGCTGTCACCCAGGTCAGAAACAGTCGTGGATGTTGATGTCGGTACATTTAGCATATTCACAGTGGCATAATACGCTTACTGTGCATCCACTTTAGGACAAATTATGCATCCAGTCATAAGAAAGGTATGGTCCAGTCTGATGTTTCCCCCGATACAATCCTCTGTATGAAGATCTAACAACTCGCAACAGGATATATACTACCGACAATAAGTATGGGAACACCCAAAGATCAAAGTATAACAAAGAAAATTTAAAGTGGCAGGGTCGGTTTATTACAAGGGTACAGAAAACATTATTTGTTCTTAAAATGTAATGGATTTATGGGCAGATATCATTGACTGCAATGCCAGTACAAGCAGCGGAAGAGGATAGGGGTCAAAACGGAAAGTCACAGTATCAATAGTGGGTGTGTCCTCCACGTTGATTGATGCATTCTGTACATCTGCGCCTCATGGACCTGACAAGGGTCGGAGGGTAGCTTGGGGAATCAACTGCCATTCAATCTGGAGCCACTGTACAAGAACCTGAAGAGTCGGTGCCATTCCATGATTGTCTCTAGCACGTCTTTCAAGAATGTCCCATAGATGTTCAATTGGAGCCAGATCCGGTGAATAAGCTGGCCACTGCATCACATTCACATTACTTTGTCACAAGAAGTCTCTAACGACTCGAGCTCGATGTGGTCTGCATTGTCATCTTGCAGCTGTGCTCCGGCACCAATGGTGTTCAAAGCTGGAAGAACCAGAGGACGCAGAATCTCATCCCGGTACCTCAATCCAGTCAAATTGCCCTGTACATGGTACAGAGGAGTACGGTGATGTAAGCTGAAGCCTCCCCAAACCATCACAGAGACACCACCAAATCTGTTCCTCTCCCTCACAGTAGCATCGTGGTAACGTTCTCCACGCCTCCTGAAAACCCTAATCCTTCCATCGTTGTGCTCAAGACAGAATCGTGACTCGTCAGTGAAGAGTACCCCGGATCACTGTTGCTGATTCCATCTCAAATGTGCTCTGGCCCAGGCCAGTCTTGCAGCTCTATGATGTGGGCGGCGATGAGGACGTACCGCTGGACGACGTGACCGTACATTAGCAGCTCTGAGACGGTTCCTGATGGTTGAGATGCTGACGTTTGTGTTGGTTGCATGTCTGAGCTGCAGCCGTATAGCACTGGCAGTTGTGAAGCGGTTCCTAAGGGCGTGGAGTACGACATATCGATCGTCTGCCCTTGTCGTTTTTCGTGGCCTTCCTGACCGAGCTCTGTCTTGTACTCGGCCGGTGGTTTGGAACCGTTCCCTCAGCCTATGAATGACGGAAGGGGACACCTGAAGACGACGACCAACGCTTCTTAAGGAGCAAGGCAATGGCCCTGCTTCTGTTGTTGTCGTTTAATGGTCTAAGCTTAGGCATATTGGGGTAATTGTGAGGCTTCAACACTGTCTGCAGCTTCTTCTAAGGAAAAGTTGCCACAACATGCATGGGAAGTCTGTCTTTCACGTGCACGAGGTTGCTGTGTTTGGGCGTTTGAATCAGACACAGTGCAGGTTTGTTTTGACACCTTCGTTTTTTGCTGTTTTGGACACATTTTAATTTCATCAAAACTTCACAAATATTGAAGCAATTGCTTCAACTGTTTTTTTAACATGTCTTTAAAGTGTCCACTAAGCACATGTCACAGATACATTTCACTTTTATGAATTAATGAAGCCACCGCTGTCAGGTTTGTGCATGGCGATCAAATTTGAGGGTGTTCCCATACTTTTTGTTTGTAGTATATTTTGTCATATGCCATGACGTATGAAACGACAGTGAAACATCGACATATATATAGTTGGGCTATAATAGTTACATTCGGAATGCGGCGTTGTACTTCGTTTCGAGTTACACAAATCAGATTTGCTGCTCCGAATGCTTCTCACTCGCACCGAGAATTTACATTAGATATTAATACCTTTATCCAGGTGCGCGTCCTGGGAGGCTATGGCACAGAGTTGGACCAGAGGAATATTCTTGCTTCGTCCGTATTCTCCTCACTTTTAGATGTGTTGGTCTTCAAAGGTGTGGTCCGTACACAAAACCAGAAGGGAGGTGGGAACATTTCTTATGGTTGCTATTGTGGTTAATGTTAGTTTACATTTTTGTTGTTGTTGATATAACCATTCCCGTTGTTGTTATCGGCAGCGGCCATTAAGCCTAGTGGTATTGACGGCACGTCTAAACCAGGTGAACCAGCATGAATGTAGACAACTGTGTAAAATCTCTCTCCTTCAACTCCCTAATCAGCTCCGACAACGGTGACATAGGTCTTTGATCGCTGCCTGACGACCCCGAGACATTTGATAGCAAATCATTTTATTGAAACTTTTGAATAGGATTTGGACCGCAATATACATTTTGATGTTCGAAATTCGTTAAAAAACGGCGACATGATAATTGACTCAGCTCAGGTACAGCGAAGATTATTTTGACATCTTAAAATTGTTCCAACCTGTGAATGTGTAAGGCATGCATTGCCTATATGGCTGAAATGTGGACTAGTACAGAGTTTAGCAATACTTTCTTTCAAGGCACTGGATCAATCTCTGCAGCCCAGAGCAGCGTGATAGCTGTCCTGTCGCGGGGTCCTGTGGGGATTGGTGACCAGATCGGACATACCAATACTTCCATCATCAATCGGTAGTCACCTTTTCATCTATCCCCTCCCATCAATGATAATAATTATACACAAATGGCCTGAAAACTGAAACAGGGGGCTTTCTGTTTCCCATCTGTTTTGCATTAAGATGTAAATGTATGTGAATTCAACGAGACTGAATTTAATTCTTCTCCGTGTATGTCAATAAATTTTCTTTACCTTTTGACATAAACGTGAACCAGGAAAACACATATATAAAGCAATATCCGAAACATACGAAATGTCCCCAGAACCAAGTTGTCCAACTGCTCATTGTTCTTGGTGCCTTGGGTTTAGTACCTCCCAGTCTCTTGGCTGTCGTTGGTATAGTGTCCGAGTTTGATGCCAGGAGCACAACCCTTCTCACTCTCTAGGTAATGTAGAAGGTTGCAATGTTGGGCAGTCTGCAAATTCTCGGAAACGTATTTGATGGGTTCGACTAAGCAGCGCTTCCTGGTCCGTATTCGATTATTTACAGACAGCTGTCATATCGCTGGAGTATTGCTGAGTACGGCGTTGAACAACAGCCAAACCAATCGACATCAAACCTGTATTAGTCTACACTCATTCCCTTCTCAGCTCTAGTGGCACTCAGCCCGCTCTCACTTCTAGTAGCCTATATGCACAACACTCTCTATAGTAGGCTGTACTCATTCCCTTCTCAGCTCTGGTGACTCTCATCCAACTCTAACCTCTAGTAGGCCATGTTTATGACACTCTCATCTCTGTAGAAGCCTATTCCCATCTAGTGACTCTCATCCAACTCTAACCTCTAGTAGGCCATGTTTATGACACTCTCATCTCTGTAGAAGCCTATTCCCATCTAGTGACTCTCAGCCCACTCTCACCTCTAGTAGGCCATGTTTATGACACTCTCATCTCTGTAGAAGCCTATTCCCATCTAGTGACTCTCAGCCTACTCTCACCTCTAGTAGGCCATGTTTATGACACTCTCATCTCTGTAGAAGCCTATTCCCATCTAGTGACTCTCAGCCCACTCTAACCTCTAGTAGGCCATGTTTATGACACTCTCATCTCTGTAGAAGCCTATTCCCATCTAGTGACTCTCAGCCCACTCTCACCTCTAGTAGGCCATGTTTATGACACTCTCATCTCTGTAGAAGCCTATTCCCATCTAGTGACTCTCATCCAACTCTAACCTCTAGTAGGCCATGTTTATGACACTCTCATGTCTGTAGAAGCCTATTCCCATCTAGTGACTCTCAGCCCACTCTCACCTCTAGTAGGCCATGTTTATGACACTCTCATATCTGTAGTAGCCTATTCCCATCTAGTGACTCTCATCCCATCCTCAGCTCAAGTACTGTCGATGACAAACATATAGATATCTGGCAATTTTGCTCTCAGGATATGTAGCTCTGATGGAACTATCCTCAAACCAAACAGCCCTGCACTCGAAATAAATGCTCAGGTTGTGCAGGTGAGTAAGCTGTGAGCGACCCCAACTCCGCTTTTTGAACAGTTTGTATGTAATGTCACGAACTGACAAAATAATCGATACCTCTCAATTGTTTTACCATGCGTATGGTTTTTAATTGCAAATATCTTAAGTTTATTATCTTAAGCGATATTATTTCCAAAACCTAGATTGTGCTAACGTGTGGTTAGTTCTCAGAGAATACCTCACCATGGTACTTTCGTGTTAAATTTAATTTCATTTAAGACTTGATCTATCAAAGAAAGACTGTTTTTTGTTTAGCTCGTGGTGCAAAATGTATGCGAGTGTAAATCTATGACACATATCATTGACGTGTAACCATGCAAATGACACCATCAGTGGATCTGTCCATGATTAAGGAACAAAAAGCTTCACCAATCTGTTGAGAGACTTACTTGCTAAGGGTACAACTCACAGGTCTCTACGATTCAACTCTGTTAACTTTAACATCAGTTGCTATGTTTTAAAGATCACATGGTCATATCAGTAGCACATAATGTACCCGTTGAAGTGAAGAGCGCTTGTCTTGTCTGCAGGTTCAGTCAAAGGTGATGACGTTTCAACACGTGTTTATCAAAATATGCTGCTGCCTGTATAAGAAAGTAAAATTGCAAGTGCCGTCCACTATGTTCCAGATGACGTTTCAAGATGGCAGCGGCCCAGACGGCGACATTTGGGCGACACTCAACGGCCTGTATAGGGGTGGACCAAACCCGGAACAGGTGTACGGGATTATCTATGTTTCCGGCTTGAACAGGACGTTTGACATCACCCCGACGGCAGCCGACATTGGGTTTGAAGTGAGTATGTCGTACGTATTTAAAGGGACATTCGGCGCGAAGAAAGCGCAAGTCCCAGCCAATATGATTCAAGTAGTTGAAACATCACGTACGTCGTCAGTGATGTATCATACCTGTAAAGAATGCGTTAAGTTACGAATGTGAGACGACTTGCACTTTAGATTATGCATGTTGTATGTGCATATTGGTCTATCAAGCAAATAAGTCCCTACCCAAAACGATACTTAAAATGGCACGTGGCAGTTCTTCAATACTTCAAACATAAGCTGGAAATTGTGTGTTTCCAATGCTTGCTCTTCACATGGATAAATATCAGTCGGGTATGAGTTACCTCTGTTAAGTAATCGATACTTGGTACCTAATCCTCATCAATGAGATCGGGTAACAACACGTTGAACGTATTTCAGGTACATGTACATAGAGAGCTTAGGATAACTTTGTGACTGAAGCGTTGGTTTGTTACGTTCACCTTCTGTGGTGTGCCATGGGTCCTGGAATGAAGGAAAATCACCGAAGCAACAATTAATGTCGGTACATCAGAAAATGGTACTTCCAATGCCTCCATCTTCCGGCTTCAGCACCTACACATATTTACTGTTGCAGTACCCAGTGAGCAAGATCTTCTCTGCAGCTGATCCAACAAAGCAGTACGACTTCAGCGACAGCAAACCCTTCACCATCCCGCCATGCCAACTGGAATTCTGCATGTACTATACGTCACCAGTTATAAAATACAAGTAAGGCACCTATTATTCATATTTCGCAAAACTCAGCTTTCCAGATTGATATGCAAATACGTCTCTTGTGAATTAAGAACATCCAAGAACACTAAGAGCTATCTGCAGCACCAACTTCAAGGCCACTTCTTCACTGTACTTATCAGTTATGTATGTTTTACGAGGTAAACAGGAAAATATAAAGGAAATAAACAGTTGTATCATCTTCCGTAGGAATCTGTTTTTTTAACATGGGACTGAAATATATTCCGTTAAATTCCGTCGAATTCCGTAGATGTTTCTTGGCGGTGGGCGGTGTCGTTATCCACATTGGTGCAGTATGTGAAGTTCACATCTAGTGTCCCCGACTAGGATATTGCTGGAATAATGTCAGCATTAATCATCCGTGTTTGTTTTGTTTAAAATGCTACATCACACACATTTTGAATATGTCACATACAAGATATTTGACATGCCTCCCAAATTTGCTTTCCGCCAAGTATTGAATCTTGACCTTCATCTAAGTTTATGTCAGAATATGGGATTGAGAAAAATGTGCCATGTTGGGGGATAAAACTGGAGATAAAGCCCATGACCAGCTGATCCTGTTACGGATAAGGGACATAACTGTATCATCTTATGCACCTTGGTTCTTCCAACGTCCTATGCTACAAATCCTTAAACCTTAGTGCAGTTTCCCGTGTACACGTTCGGGTGTTTCTTGAGGCTTTTAGGTATGCTTCAATACACGTATGTGTGAGTAATTTCCGTTACCATACTCTCCTGTACGTCTCCGGGAGTATATTGTTTCGAACCAGGTTTTGCTTTAGTGGCTCACATTTACACAAAATCGAATATTTTACCATTGATCTCTATAGAAACGTTGTATTTGTTGCTAACATTATCAAAGCCCGCTATTACATGTACACGTATGCATATTCTAACCTTAAAGAAACAAACCAGTTCCTTTTCCGAGTACAGGAAGCTAAACAGACCACAGTCCCGCACAAAATGTCGCCCGCTAGAAAATATATGTGGTCACATTCTACATACGTCGTGATGTAAACAAAGACAAGACCACATATTGGAACATATAGTCAGTTTTAGTTACTGGATGGATGTAGATACAATACACAGACATCTTACTAAAAATCATCCAATCACGGCTGTCCAATGATGTTAATGTGGCTTTCCCATCCTTTCGAGGTATCCATTCACAGCTGGGTGGACTGCGACACATAGTCACAGTACTTTGTCCAAGTTTTACTGCACGTTGCTGTACCCGCAACTAGGTGTTTGCACGTATTCATGTGACCACCATCTGGTCATATACTAACGGATTCGTAGGTTCTTTTAAGTGCACAGGGTTGTGTACTGTACACTAGCTAGGGTTTGTGACAACACTGAAAGAGTCTGCACACAAAGTTGACTCCTTGGCGGTTTTTACACCAGGTCACAGATGGGATCGATCACGGCAACTTAAACTCGCTGGATCACGAGCCTGGCGTCTTAGACAGCTCGCCCACTACACCCCTATACGGGGTCCTCAAAGGGTCAACTCACCCACTCTCATGTTCCTTAAGTTTTCGGTAAGAACATTCCCCAGTCATCAATCGCACCTCAATTCCCGGTACACAATAAGGCGTGGAAAACATATGCTGAAGTAGACACAGGTGGTACCATGTTTGCATTGTGTTGGGTTTTTTTTCAGCTCCATCTTTCTGCTCACTGATTTCACCCAAGTGTTATATAAATGTCTAAGATCTGAATATCTTCCATCTTTCCTTCCACATCAGTCTGACAGGCCATTATGTAACTGAAATACTGTTGTAAGCTGCAGTAAACACTTACCCGCATTGACTATTTGTTGCAGAAATAGAGAAGTTCTCGTCCTGGGTGAACTGGAAAAGTGGGTACCAATGTCTCGCAACAGGATCGTCAATGTCACCGTCGGCGACGTCATCACTGTCTACGTCAAGGGTCAGGCGGGAGAGAGTGTTGAGATGTGGTTTGCCGATGATGTACGGTTCGGTGCTTTGAAAACTATTATAGGGGCAGACGGCCTGGGTAGTATCATATATGAAATAAAATCTCATCCTGTTAACAACTCTGACCTCAGAAGAGCTTCAACAATTGCTTTTGTCATGGGTATCCTAGCAACAATGATGCTCATGATGTAAGACGAAAGTGACTGCATTGTTGCTGGTTGGTGGACACAAGGCCAAAACTCCATCTCATCTCATTGGGTAAATTCTGTATTAATAAGCAGTTACATTTTCATGGTGTACTCATTTTACCTTTAAAACGTGACAGAGATATCCGTACTGTTCGATTGGGTGTTTTGTTCTTTTAAAGCTTGGTGCGGATTTGAACTGAACCATTCTGTCCTTCCAAAGTCGGCAGGAAAACAGTATTTCTCTTTACCACAAACTCAGCTATCGTTCATACAGGTCCTGACACAACTGAAGAGTATCAGGCATTCTGCAATACATTTACCATTCTAGATTTCTTCAGTTGTTACATTATGAAAATAAATATATTATAACCTAACATATCTTTTCAAGAAATGTTAGCCTGTGAATGATGCACAAGATGAAACCTGCCTTGGTACTTACGTTTCGTATAAATATCGGAATCTGTGACCACAAAAAACATCTCCCAGAACAAACTGTGCAATTGTCAATGATCACCTGTATCACATATGAAATAAGCTCCATGCAAAATGGATAATGCCAAGGAACACGTATGGTGGGAAATGTTCCTAGAAAACTGTTCTATGGGACTAATTCCCCGAGAAGATGTTTACAAAGGAACAATACCGCTAAGGGAACAGATACTCTTTGTCACTGTCACTTTGAATTGGTGTGTAAGTGTTCTCTCCTGTGCATTAATTGTTTGGCCTGTCGAAAATCAGAATGTTTTGTCACACACACATAACTATAACACCTTTGTTCACTTGGCTTGTTTTGTTTGGAAGAATGTATCAGAATGTATGGTGTTTGCTATGTACCTTGGCCTAGGTTTTCGAAGTTCTCTTAGCGCTAAGATAGTCGTAAGTTTATGTTAATGTAAGGCACTTTACGACTATCTTAGCGATTATAGAGCTTCGAAAATCTGCCCTGACCAATAAAATTGTGTGTGGGACCGAAAGTTTAACTCGGTTTGCATTGAGTTCCGTGTAAGAAATTAACATAGTTACTTGTTTATCGTGAAGTTGTTATTAAATCAATGTTTGGTTTGGGCAGGTTCCGCTCTAATGTTATGTTAATCGATCGACCGTTTAGTCGAGGATCCAGACTGGCAGATACTTTACAGCAGGTCACTTTAACATGTTCTACAGTTCCGGTGGTGCTGAGATCACTGCGGGGTGATCCGCTCGCTGACTTGGTTGACACATGTCATCGGTTCCCCAATTGCGCAGATCGATGCTCTATGCTATTGATCACTGGATTGTCTGGTCCAGACTCGATTATTTACAAACCGCCGCCATATAGCTGGAATAGTGCTGAGTGCGGCGAGGAGACTAAACTCACTCACTCACTGCGGAGTGATCAAAGCCGTTGTATTAAAAGCCTTTTAAGCGATAGGCTGTTCTAAGACCTGAATGGTTCCATCTTCATGTTTCATTACTTTCTGGTATCAACAAAATGGGTTGTGCAAAGCGGTTATTGAAGTGCCAGATTGCCAATAATGTGTCATTAGATTTGTATATTCACCTATTATTGTCCGACAAATCCGGTTTAGAAACAATCGCTTTCTCCCTTCTGTCTTCTTCAAAGTGGTATGAGTTTTACGATTCTTTCTACTTGCCAAATGTATCTCTTCTGACAATCTTTTAGTAGTTTATTTATGGTTTTCACAAAATGCAATGCAACACATACAGCCATGTGCTTGTACTAACGAAGCCTGTCTCCATCTTAGCGCATATCATCGTTGATGTTTTGTATAAAGCCTCCTGTTACGTTAGTGCCACGCTGAGGTATGGATGGTGTCATTGAAAGTTTGAAATAATCTATGTATTGTGTTTCCAAAATTAATGGGGGTTTACAACTTGTTAGTGAAACATTTTAGTTTTATCTTGCCTTCATGTAAACTACTTTAATTTCATTGGTCACTGACGCTTTAACAAGTTTCCGTGTCACCAATCCCAGGGGTGACAACTGGAAAAATATTACCTGCTGCCACGGTAACCGCCAAGCTCTCCATCGAGAAGCTGTATCGCTAACAATTGTATATAACATGACGCATACAGTGCACGGAGTTCGAAACCTGTTCGCTTACCTGTTTTGAGTTCACTATGTACACATTTATTTTACCGGCTTTCACTTCTTTATTTAATTACTATTTTATATATTGGATCGTTTTGCACACTCAACGTAACAGAATTAACCATTTTTATGGCAGCTTTTAGAACTTATCCATCTTCAAAATAAAATGATATTTTGTACATTTAACATGGCGGGAGGATAAATACGTTGTAAACGGCTCGGATAACACTACTACAATGAAGCGTACATGAGACCATATTACGCTCGAGAGAAGCATACAACTTATAGCATCAACCCTTCCCATGTCATATTACTGCTATGAACTGTACGTTTGGCGTCAGATCAAACTTTGCCATGACAAGGATCCCTTTTTATATTGAGGCTTGTACAATAACAGTCTGGTGACAAGGGCTTTCAGACTGACTGACTGAGTTTGGTTTTACGCCGCTTTTAGCAATATTCCAGCAATATCACGGCGGGGACACCAGAATGGGCTTAACACATTGTGCCCGTATGGGGAATCGAACCCGGGTCTTCGGCGTGACGAGCCAACGCTTTAACCACTAGGCTACCCACCGCCCAGGGCTTTCAGATGTGAGTATGTATGAAAATGATTTCAATGTCTACCTTTGTCACGTGCGACTACTTGCGGTTTGGTCGTGTAACCATAACGACTGTATACTGAATGTGTTTGATGCCATTGTATGTAACATGCACTGTAAGAAGACATGACATTGAAGAAGTGATGAAGGTTTGACCCTGAAGTCGTTTGATTGGCACTGTGGGCAATAAGAGATGTCCAAAGCCTTGTTACACCATTGGTTCTCATATATTTACCTTCGTTTTGATTATTTTCTATCACCGTTCATAATTATTGCATCCAGTTAGAATGTGTTGTATTCAAATATATGTGTCTTGATCTTTATAATAAAGCTAACAAATATCACCACGTGTTTAACGGTACCCAAACCTTAGCCTTTCATACGGGCTGTGAAACCTGAGCCTTCATCGGGAATTATTCAGTAGAACATTGTTTGTTTATTGTTGTCAGTTGCAGTCAGCAACGTTTCCATTATATTGCAACAACCCGTAAACAATCGACTATTAAAAGCCTAACTAGTGGTTTCGGTATCTTTAACAACTAACAGTGCGGATAAGATGGCAAGAGATGATTGAGCACATACCAAGACCATCCGATGTTCTTAAGTCGGCTCTTTCCACCTGCATGGCATAGATGAGCCATGGATATATCAGTAGAAGTATACACATTTCACTCCTCGTGGTGGCACAATTGTACCTGATGGTCAATGGTTTGAATGGTTGCGTTATGCCAAATCACGTCAAGAGATGGTAATTGTTTCACATGGATACTCCTCTCAGACACAGTGTAGTGAGTCCGGACAGACAAGTCTTTGTTTAATCATGTTCATGCCTTGCGTCACGCAGGATATAGCAGGGGGTGGGGGTAAGTGGCAACGAATTATTAAATGAAATACTCTTAGACGTCTTTACGATCAGCAATTTCCACACCTCAACAAACATTGCATTTGATGTTGTGGTAAGATACAAGCAAGGTTGAAGAAACTCATATGCTAATTGTTTCGTATTTCAAAATTATTTTCTGAACATTTGACTCTTTTTTAAGTTGCTGGCCTAATGAGCCCTTGTAATGCTACACTTCAAAACCATATCAAATGAGTGAGTGAGTGAGTGAATGATGCTTTGACCCGCATCAGCACTTTTGCAGCTATACTGTGCAAGCATCTCAAACGTTTACCAAATCTATGAGAAGTCAAAAAGAATATAATCCAAACATCTATCATTACTTTACTGGGACTTTGTTGATAAAATAAGACTGCAACTTTCAAATTATGCTGGGCAGGAATTGCCCAGTTGTCTCAGGTGCTAAAACATGTTGTGCAGAGTTGGGTTCGTTGGACTGACCATAACGCCATGTTTGTAGGTTAGAATTCTGATTCTGTCATGTCGTTTTCCTAGATGTTTTCAGCAACATATTATGCTACTACGTGATTAACGTTTTAGATCCACATCACTTCCTTCCCCAACGAGACATGACATACTGTGTTCCGCTTGTCAATTGAAACTGTAGGATGTTCATAGAACGATGAAAAAAGATTCTGAAGCAAAGAAAACAAAACAAAAAACATCAATTTGAATGCTGTCATGCTTTAATTATTTTTGTCATCTCTGAATACATTATGTCATCAACAAAGTAGTTCTTGAAAGGCATTTAGAAGTTTATGACAAACATAAATATAGGACACGTTGTATAGATAACTTCTTTTTATTCTTTACACGACGTTCAAAGTTAATTCTTGCTCCTTCATCAGAAGAATGAATTATCGTGAGCAAGAATAAAAAGAAGTTGTTTTCATAAAACATGTCATGTATTCATCAACAGAGTAGTCAGTAAACGATATGTTTATACCTAACTAAAACAACGATGGAAATCCACGTCTACATACTTGACAATGATCAACGTATCCAACCTATGGGACAAGAAATCCTTACGCCTATGAACCTTTCTGCGTATCTTACATCCCATGGAGGAGATAAACATTAGTTTTTCATTCGGTCGATGGACGCTTCCTTTCACATGTACAACCACACAGATCATGTTCCGATGTGTCTTAAACAAATGTATGTAGCGTAATAAAATCTCCCTCCTCTTTTGGGGGCATGTACAAATGTACGGCACTTCGCGAGACCTTAGTACTTCCGGTGACAAACAACGTTTCATACCTTTTCGAATGGTCTCATCAAATCCTTGAAGGACATGTAGAAGTAGAATGCATGAGAAAAGCAAGATTTATGGATGTCAACTTCTTTATTGTGAATAACACCACGTTTCGGAGCTTATGCTTGCTCCTTCACCCGAAACGCTCGAAAAA